ACATAATATGCCATAAATTATGGCATCCCATTCACTAAAACACAGAAAGCAGAGGACCACAATTCTTTGAATTTGCTAATGTATAATCTTGATAGATGGAAACATCCTCATATAATGTAGATTCAAGTTTTTTATGCCACACCATGATTAGGAATACATGTATAGTTTTTGTCATGTCCGTCCTCCACCCTTCCATCTGTCTTTCCATTGGGCTTAAAGAAACTTTGTAGATATTTTTATCAAAGTTCATATGTTGATGCATACTGATGTAAATATCCAACTGCAGCAATATTTTTTGACTTTGACTTTTCCTTTGACCTTCACGAAACTTTTCTTTAAAGAGGCTGGGTGGTTGCAGCCATTTTTAGACTATTTTGATCTCCGTTAGAAGAAGAGCTCCATTTAAAGATATAATAAAAATGATAAAATGATCAAATTTTAAAACAAAAATTTATGAATTTTTTTTTTTTTGCCAAATGATAGTTGATGGCTTAAGATATCATATCCCCAAATTTAAGTTATAACCGGTGGTAATAAAAAAATAATTTGTTGACCCCCTAGCCTCCTTAAATTACTGTTTAGCTTTATTTTAAAGAAACCATTCAAGTTGTGTAATGAAACTTTACATGATAATACATACTTATGTAAGCTTTACAATACTTCACTCTTTTTTACCTTGACCTTTCCTGTGACCTTGACTTCACTTTTCTAAAATTAATGTCTAAATCAGTTTTGAGTAAACAATTCAAAATATATTTATCAAACTTCATATGCTGATACATACTGCTGAGAGCTATTAATACATCAACTTATTTTGACCTTGAATTTTCCTTTGACCTTGACCTCACTTTTTAAAATATGTGTTTATCTAAGTTTTAAATAAACCATTAATTATAGTTTTATCAAACTTCATATGCTAATAGTAAATTCATACTGATGTAAGCTTTTCAACTGCAACAATTAACATTTTGGCCCTAACCTTTCCTTTGACCTCTCTTTTCTTAGAAAAAGTGTTGAGGTCAGTTTCATTAAATCATTCAAGATATTTTTATCAAACATAATATGCTGATAACTTCATCAAAAACTTAACCTTGCACATTCCTCTGACCTTGACCTCCATCCTTTTTAATTTGTATTTCGCTTAGTTTTAAAGAAATAATTTAAGACATTTTTATGTTTAGCATGCACTTATAATACATAATTTGGTGAGGATTTATAATCTATATCAAATTTATTTAGATTTTAGTTTCAATTCTAAAGAAACTGTTCAAGATATTTTCAACAAACTTAATACGCTAATACAAATTTTCCTGTAGCATGAGTAATATACATCCAGTGGGACATTCATGTCCTATAGACATATTTCTAGTTTTTCAAATCATAACCTCAAAGGCTAGGTCAGGCCACAATTAGACATTAAACATTCCAAAACCTTACTGCACATCTACATGACACCACCAATCATCTCCTCAAAGATGATTAGACTACTGTGTAAAATGTAAGGGGAGTTCAGGGAAGACGGGGCTTTTTGCAAAAAAACGTCATTTTTCGACCCCCATTTGATCCCCTGGGGCAAAATCAACATTCCGAAACCTTACTGCACATCTACATGACACCACAAACCATCTCCCCAAAGATGATTAGGCTACTGTGTAAAATGTAAGAGGAGTTCAGGGAAGACGGGGCTTTTTTGCATAAAAAACGTCATTTTTCGACCCCCATTTGACCCCCTGGGGCAAAATCAAAACTTAGTAACCTTACTGCACATCTACATGACACCACCAACCATCTCCCAAAAGATGATTAGGCTACTGTGTAAAATGTAAGAGGAGTTCAGGGAAGACGGGGCTTTTTGCATAAAAAACGTCATTTTTCGACCCCCATTTGACCCCCCGGGGCAAAATCAAAATTCCGAAACCTTGCTGCACATCTACATGACACCACAAACCATCTCCCCAAAGATGATTAGGCTACTGTGTAAAATGTAAGAGGAGTTCAGGGAAGACGGGGCTTTTTGCATAAAAAACGTCATTTTTCGACCCCCATTTGACCCCTCGGGGCAAAATCAAAATTCCAAAACCTTACTGCACATCTACATGACACAGCCAACCGTCTCTCCAAAGATGATTAGGCTACTGTGTAAAATGTAAGAGGAGTTCAGGGAAGACGGGGATTTTTGCATAAAAAACGTCATTTTTCGACCCCCATTTGACCCCCCGGGGCAAAATCAAAATTCCGAAACCTTACTGCACATCTACATGACACCACCAAACATCTCTCAAAAGATGATTAGGCTACTGTGTAAACTGTAAGAGGAGTTCAGGGAAGACGGGGCTTTTTGCATAAAAAACGTCATTTTTCGACCCCCATTTGACCCCCTGGGGCAAAATCAAAATTCCGAAACCTTACTGCACATCTACATGACACCACCAACCATCTCCCCAAAGATGATTAGGCTACTCTGTAAAATGTAAGAGGAGTTCAGGGAAGACGGGGCTTTTTGCATTAAAAACGTCATTTTTCGACCCCCATTTGACCCCCCGGGGCAAAATCAAAATTCCGAAACCTTACTGCACATCTACATGACACCACCAACCATCTCCCCAAAAATGATTAGGCTACTGTGTAAAATGTAAGAGGAGTTCAGGGAAGAAAAGTGTGACAGACGGACGGACGGACGGACATGAGTAACAACAATATACCCGAACTTTCTTTAGAAAGTGCGGATATAATTAAATCTTCTCATTTGTTACCAAAATGCTTATTATTTTTACGAGGAAGACTTATTAAATAATGTAAAAAGTATGTTTTTCTGAAACAATACCCTGGGAGCGAATGGAAAATCTCATTTTAAGTAGATTGCATACTATGTGTAGGCTTTTTTAATTTATTTAATATTTATTTTTTTAAATATCTTGATTTCGTGATGTTAATTAATACAATATTACTGAAAACGCGGTACCTATACTTTTTAGCAATATGATCAATTATATTCGTATTGAGATGTATAATGTGCTAAATTTGTGATTTAGAACTTTTTTTTTTCAAAAATAAAAGTAGAATGTAAGTTGATCAAATTTTCAATCCTTTTCTTTGAACCCCACTCGCGGGCACCTGTCCTCACGTGCCACAGGTGGGGAGACACGTGTCGCAAAGACACCTGCTACCGTGTTGGTGTATTTTTGTATATTCTATGTGGATTGAGAGGTTTTTCTACCTTAGAGGAACAATGGGCTGTGACCAGGCGTAATATATACATGCAGTACATGGTATACACAGTATAGTCTTTAGTAATGACCCCAAGGTGTCTGAACATTCAAATTTAAAAAAAAAATTTAAAACCCCCACACACACACTATATATAAAACTTCACCTAAAATCAAACAAATAAAATTGTTTTATAAAATATTTTATATAAAATGTTTCATATAAGCTATTAAGTTTATTATGTGTTGGTGATTAAGAGAAAAAAAGGAAAAACCTCTCAGATATTTATCTATAGATCAATCTAATAATTAATAAAACTAATCTACAGGTAAGGAGAATATTTGCTAGTTCAATAGACTATTTCAAAAATTTCAATATTATTTTACAATTTCTCCACAAAGAAATCGGCAATCACAAAAAGAAATCGACAATTAAGTGCACTCCTTGTTTGCCACCATTGTAAACTTCAAATATTGAAAATATTTAGAGGTCGATGACACGCAACCTAATGAAAACACAGTCTATGAATTTTATTTCATAACTTTTTTTATGTAGGTAATTTCTAAGTACACAATAAAACAACGTTTCATTTCTAATTTAGAGTCCAAAACAGAAAAGTGTGAGGTTATTACAATAATAAGGAAAAGATTTTTTTAAAAAAAAGATAAATACATTAATTTTAGTAAACAACAATAATACATGACATGTGTAAAGGACTATGACTACTATTACATGATTTCATTTATAAATTTGCCCGCAAAATTAAGAGTTTCCGTATCTTCTGTATTGAGTATATAACCAATAATTTTTTGTTCATCATCTAATGCTGAGAAGTAGCGCGATTTACTATTAATGGAATGAATTTTTTTTTCTTTGATGATCATCTTTTTTTACATGACAGTGTTATAAAAAATGGATTTCGATTATCATTTATACTGTTGGAATTACATCTACATTTATCGATCTTCTCTAGAAATATTGGTAAATCTGGCCACTTCAATTTGTAACCTGTGACAGGAAATTCTTAGTTAACATATAGACTTAATTGTACATGTAGATATTTTCTGAGATGGAAATTTTTAACAATTGATTAATAATTCTTATAATCCCAATTTTGCTTTTGAGTTTCACATAAGTATAAAAAGCAATACCAGAGAGAGAGAGAGAGAGAGAGAGAGAGAGAGAGAGAGAGAGAGAGAGAGAGAGAGACTGATACAACACCTTCTTATATAGTTTGTAATTTTTTTCTTCGTTTTATTTAAGTTACGAAGGTCAAAATTAATCATTTATTTATATAACAATGAATATAATCTTACATGTACTTTGTTAATTTATTTATTCTGTTTTAGGACACAAATAAAAATGTATTCCGTAGATAAAGATTTTAAAAAACATCACATAAATTTGCAGACTTGTGATAAAGTTTTAACCAGCTGATTCGTATCGCTTACTAGAAGGGGGGGGGGTTAAAATCGCTCTTGTATGTGGTTAATATGCCATCAGCATAACTTTGTTGACTTGTATACTTTTCTTTACACAATAATCTAAGTACATGTGTATATGATTTTAAATCTATTTGTAAAAATCTGGACAGTCCGTTTCAACAATTACCATAATCATGATAATAAGGGACCAAAAATACGGTATTATACCCCCTTCGATTCCATGATCAATTTTATTTTAGCATGTAAAAATGTTCATTCTGTTGTCATAAATGCAAGGACGTCTGCAATTAAGAAGTAAAAAAAAATATTGCCAAAAGAGAAATCCAAAAACAAGGTGAATTTTCCGTAGAGACTGACATTCAATCACTAGGTGGCGTATCGCGATAGAATGCTTCTCTCTCATTGGTTAGATTTTTAGTAGAAGAAAGAGGGACAAAATGGCGAAGAAAACACCAAGAACTTGCTCAAGAAAAACAACAGAGATGAGAAGATCTTTTGACTCTACACAGAAGAAAGGCACCCCAAACGACAGATTAGATACAGGTAGTTATTTCTTACAGTTCAGAGCATCTTTATATTTGTTTTTATTGTCTGAAATCGTAAGAATAAAGTTGGGTCAAAACGGCGAGTTCCAAAAATTCAAATTGACCATTGTACAGTTATAATTATTTTGAAAAAGCGCCTTGTAAATCATTCTCAGCTTAGGTTGTAATACGTATAATTAATTGCTGTTAAGGTAGGTCGCGGGTTTACCCCATCAAAATTCTTACGAGAAAACATATCCTGAAAATTTGATATAACGTTCCTTAGAATTCACAGCGTATTATCTGCAATTTTCATTAATTTTGCCTACGTAGTTTTAATGCTATATAACAGTAAACGCGGTATTCTTGTTAGTACCTTTTTTACGCATTGCTATTGAAATATATGGAAAATGACGTTTTTAAGCCAATTTTGTGAAAATAGTTTCTTTTAAAAAGACTGGATAACTTTTTAAAGACGTAGACGAATTATTCAGGAATTTCAAATTGTCAAGATGAGGTAAAATCAAAACTGTTAATATAAAAAAATCAATATGTCTTCTCGCTAGATTTTTTGCTAAATAATTTCAAAGTTTTCTTTTATACTGCTAAAATAAACTACGTTTATGGCGTTATTGATATCTACAACGCCATTTGTTGAACGTAATAACGTTTACAGTACGAGTATAAATATCTTGACCTTTAGAATATGCAAGATCTAAAAGGTGACATAGATACAAAATTTAATTTATTTAATTTATTGTGGAGACATATTAGGATGACCAGAAACTTATTTTCACTAGTATTAATTGTGAAATTCATATTCTGATCACAAAGTCAGAATGAACGGTATCAACAGTCCTCGTGTATGAGAAAAACATACAACGACAACAACGCAAGTTATAAAATGTTAGTACCTGTATTTTTAGAAATTCATGGTCAGTAGGATATTAGGCATAACACAAAAATTTGATCACTTTATTCGAAAACGGTAAAAAAAAAAAAAACAAAACATCCCGATACTGAGGAAATAAGAGGCGGGGGGGGGGGGGTTATCTGCACTGTTCTTTCTATATTAGTCGCAAGCTATAGTGCATGGCCCTAAATCTCAAACATTTATTAATTTCAAATTCTCTGAATCATATTTCAATACGCATTTAGCTTTTATCCTTTTAGCTTTTCTTATAAAAAAAAAATATATAGATAAAAATGATACTTGTAAATTGTGTACTGTGTCTTATAGGTCTTACAGTCAAAGTGTTTTAAATACATTTCACAATTTATTAGCCAGCAAAGCAAGGCGAGTACACGAGATTTAAATACATAACAACCAAACAATAATGATACATGATGATGATAATTTAGAAAACCCCAGGAAAAAATTATGTAATTATATTTAACCCGTTTTTAGTGATGAGGATTGATTCTACCCTGAAAAGCATACGCATATTTTCGCCCCGGCTTTGATTGGCAGTCATATGCATGATGCAATACGCAAGTTCCACTGAGTTTCAAATAACGTGCGCATGCACATACTACCCCTAAAGTTTTCCGCTAAGCTATTTTTATTCACGATAACTCTCTTTCTGCATTCCATAATTTTTACGCTGATTTATTCTGATTGACTTTTAGCAGTTTAGTTACACTTACAATAAAAATTATTCCTTTCATTTGATATTGTATGTAATTAGTCCTAAGACATTACATACATCAGAATTCAGAAACTGAATTATAAAACCTGTACGAGTTTTAGGTACAATAGCATGCACTTTGTATTAATCTACTTGATCCGTACAGACTTGAAGTCATTTGCAGATAATTAAACGGGAAACAACGCAACGTTGCCTTTGTGACGTAAGTGACGTCATAATCAAATGTGCATAAAACAACCGCTCGAATCGTCGAAATTGTGTACCAAAATTGATGACAAAAGCAAACCCGCGACCTACCTCAATCACTGAAAGTTGTAGCATAATGCTCAGGTGACCTATAAGGCCCATGGGCCTCTTGTATTATTGATGGAAGACTGTGCTGCACAGCTGAGGAAGGGGTTGAATATATTTTTAACATGCAGTCTAGAATCGTAAATATTAGATATGTTAGAGGGCATCATGTTGGGAGAATACCATTGTGTAGTATTGTATCACTGTGAAATGCCAATTTGTACATGTTGTATAGTCATGAAAGTAAAATTCCTGAGAACTTGCAGATTTTGGGATATGAAAGTGACTTGATAATTTTCAGAATGCCTCACATTATTCAAGTTGAAGTATTTTATTAAGTTTCATACCATACATTATGATTTTGAAACATTGTCGAACATGAACAAAATAGTTATATACAAAGATACATAAACATCTTTTCTTACAAGGCATAATTCTGATTAATTAAACTTAAAATGTTAAAATGATATTTATTTTAAATTAATAGATCAATACGTTATATCGCGACTACCAATGAGTACCTCGCAGTTATCTAACTTACTACTGCTCTTTTGCGGGGGAGTCGAGAAAAGTCTAAATTTCTGGGGGCAAATGACATTGTTTACAGTAGTGACAATCGAATGATTCGAACAATTTAATGCCTAAATCACAATGTTTTGCCAGATATTGAACTCCAAATGGTAGATTGTCAAATAAGAAAAGTTTAGAATATTTTATCTGCTTAAAAATATGACGATTTTCAATGAAAATTTAACGAGAAGAGTCCGCTTAATTAAAAATATCGTTAAAAATGTGACAATTTAGGATTGGCTCCTCTCAAAAATATATAAGGCTGGTTCAGCGATTGTTCAGCGAGGTATTCCACCAGGATTTTTTACTTATCTGTCCTTATAAATGCTACAATGATCGATCTTGCATTGTATTGAATAGCACATTGCCCCCACCCAACAGGCGATTCCTACCCCCTTCGCGAAAGAGTTCCGCTAAGTTAAGTAATCGCGATATCAAGTATTGTAATTTCATGCTGACACATATGCATGTTTTGATCTATATGAAACAATTAACACCATTTTAGCAACCTGAAACTTGATTTACCGGTAGTGTGCATGGTGTAATTGTTCATTAGAAATACCATGTTTTTATTATACCTTGTGTATTAAATGTGGTGCAGTTTCTAAATACATCAGAAATCACAACCATAAAAATGATTCTCTTGATATCAACAGATCAGTATTTACCTGTATATGAAGAGTGTATTATGATAGACTGGAGTTTGATGAAATGGGCAATTGACCATTTTCAATTTCATAAGTACATGTATTGGTTCATTATACAGTCATATACTTGTATTTATTTGTTACCCTTTAGAGAACATTTAATTAATGAGGACATGTCACCAACACAGTCTCATTGGAGGGACCAGTCTCTATGTACTACATTGGATTCAGACCAGTGATGTAAGAATCAGCTCTTACTCCCCAACTCTAGGCGTGTCGCTCTAACCACTGGGCCACACTGGCAATGTGACCCATATGGAAATTTGACATAATACTTTTATGATCTCTAAAATTTATTGACCTGATAAAATGACTGATACACAAATAAGATTTTTTGTAATCTCTCTGTTTATAGCTGTTTACCATTCGCCATATTTCTATCACTAATTAAATCGATTTTCAACAATGGCCACTGAAGAGTCCTAGTTCTGTCTTATTATACAAATAGAGATCTTCCCTTTATGTGAAATAGAATATTAAATAAAATAAAGTATCAAATGAATTATAATTTTGAATCGGAGAAGGCCTACATATCTTAAACAAACATGATTAAGATGAAGTCTTGCTTTTATGGAAAATTATAAATTATTTAATTTTTCTCATTCTCAGATATAATTGCATTTCAAGAACTTGTAAATTGAGGCTGTGATAGGACTGCCACTTAGAATTAGGCCAGAGTGTGACTGTGTCCATTTTAAAATGATACAATTTCCAATCATTTTTTTTTCTTTGTCATGTGTCCATTAGAATTTTCACTGCATGTCAGGTGCAAGAAAATGGACATGCAAGTGGTTTTTGGGACTTTTCTAAGCTCATGCTAAAAACAAAACAGTTATTACTGTACGGTACTGTACTAACTCGATCTATTTTAATTTCAGATATCCATGGAACAAATCATCTGAAAACTAAGAGAGGATGAAGAATACTTCTATTAAAAAGTATGTTTTAGTATTTAGAACTTATGTAACTCTATTTTAGGAAATTAAGGACTAAAGCACAAAGTTTATGTTTTTATTTTCTATGGTTTTCTTAATCTCTCTGTATAATTTTAAGCTCTCTATTTATCATAGTCAGTGCTTGTCAGTGTGTGTGTGTGTGTGTGGGGGGGGGGGGGGGGGGGTGTAAGCTGCTTTCCTCTACTTTTTAAGCTTTATATAATATCTTTATATGTTTGGCATTTCCATCAAATTAACAGATGTTCACTTTTCCTAGAAAGTCTCATTTTGCGAGCTACCTACTCAAATTCTATGATTTATTTAAAATAAGTATTTATCAACAGGCCTATTTTTAGGTCACCTTAGTAAACTCAGGTGACCTATTACTATCTGTTTTTGTCTTTTGTTTGTTAACATTTGAACATTTTCAGCTTCTTCCTTGCAACTCCTCAATCAATTTCAACCAATTTTGGTACAAAGCATCTATGGGTGATGGGGAACAAAATTTGTAAATTTTATGATACCCCCCCCCCCTTTTTCTTCTTTACTCCTGGACATCAAACAGTCAAACTGTTGGCATGAATTTAATCAGCACCGAGTCATCTACCATAATTATGAAATTCATGGCCCCAAGGTCAGGGGTTCTAGAAATAGGGTTGGTCTATATAGCTCTTTGGAATTAATCAACCATTTATGATGAAATAAAACTTAAGATAACATTTAGACAATTTTGAAATGTGTGGCCCCAGGGTTAGAGGTTCCTGTGGGGTGGGGTACACAACTGATGGTTTTAAAATGGAATAGCAATTTATCTTTATTACTCTGATCCACAATTGGGTATTGAGTAACCAAAGTAAGCATGCTAAGTGTATAATTATGATAAACAACATGAACAATGGTGTGTCTTTCAAAATTGGGAATTTCCTGGCTTTTTGTTTAAAACACGAACCAAATTCAATTGAGTGAAAGTTGTTACATGATACCTATTAGGTCTATGGGCCTCTAGTTGTTATTCAAATAAAAAAAAAATATTTTATTGAACAAGTAGAATGAAAAAAAAATCCTTAATTTACTCTGAAAATCAGGAACAAATCCATACATACATATTCAGGTACATTTAAATAAATTCAAGTTTGTTTATTTCAGTATCCCTAGTCAAGTGTTTAAAAGAGGCAACTTCAATAAACTAATGAGATTTTACACTTAATAAATTTTTAGATTTCATTTTAAATCATTCTGATCAAAAAATGCTTAAAATGTGAAATTAATCAAACAAAGGCTTGTACTAGAACAGCATTAGGGACTTTGTCAATCCAATTAATATTAAATGTTAGATACTGCCTAAATCTAACAACATTCTGTAGAGTGACACGTCAGAGTACAAATTCTATAAACCAATCAAATAGTCAACTGCAAAATTATTGTATTTCATATACTGGAACGAATAAGTCTAGAGTTGTTCCGTATTTGACATCTGATGTGACCTTCTATGGGATGTTGTTAGATGTTGTGTAGCGAGTATGCGAGAGGATCTAACATGTTGTTTTATTTAGATTGGGATTTTGTTAAACTATATTTATATATATTTTCAAAAGGTTGAAGTAACTGATGAGCAGATCAATCCAACTTGAACATGATATCATTTCTCCAAGGATGAAAACAAGTCTCTCTGTACTCAAGCATTGATATTTTTAAAGTCAACTGAAACTGGAACAGGTCATACATGCAGACTACAGTGATGTGTTGCACAGTTCTGAAAACAAGCAGCCACCACTAGCATAAGCATGATAAGTGCAAGTGGGTCATCAAAAAATGAGAACCACTGAAGGACTTTTCTGTTGTTTGATGATGGACTACAAACTGATTTTTTAACAAAGGAATCCAACTTAGTGCTTATTGGCTACATATGATGTGAACTTGTGCATTTATTATACCACATACTTTTACATTTCCTTGATAATACTAGACTTGCTTAAACCGAATTCGGGTTTAGTTGATTGATTGCAGTTCTAAGTTCCTCTCGCAAGATTATATCTCTGATATATTAGACATCATTAAATGCAGACATTTTCTCTATCCTCCTGTCGTGACATGAGGGCTCGGACTTTGCTGTAAAAATGTTTATGATGCAAGAGAAAATGAATGTTCAACCCAATGGCCATAAGTGAGTCATAATTTTATTTTTACACTATATATTTCATTGAAAAACCTATATTTAAAAATCTTGTTGTGAAGTCAGTTTTAGCTCTATTTTCATGATTTTTTCACTGAAACATGCAGAATTATTCAATTTTTCTTATCTTAAATGATAAACAAAATGATACTTAAACTATTGAGAATAAATTATCAAATATTGTCCAGACAAAATTTTCTAACCTCAAATTACTATGATTTCTTAACAAATTGAAGTCTTAAAATTTTTGCTTTGCACTTGACCTGTGATTTCACGGCAATGCACAAAGATAACATTATTTTGAAATAATGTGATGAAACTACAACAAATTCTGCATTTTATGGTGTTTTAGACATTAAAAAGAAACAAAAAATGACACTGCAATAATATTTCAGAAAAATGTGTTTTTCAATGAAATATATAGTGGAAAAATAAAATTATGACTCACTTATGGCCAAGTACTGTATGTAAATGTTGATAATAACATTAAATATTCTTTGATAACTAGTGTTAGTGTGTTGTTGTTTTTTCCAATACGAGAATTCAGGGGGAAAATGAGTTTTGGTTGAAAACCAGGGCTAAATTGTGTAGACAATAAAAAAAAACTACAGTTTCCGTTGCGGAAAGCTATTTTTTAGTATACCCTATGTATATCAAAATTTGTAAACGCATACTGAAACCTTGCGTATACCTGAAATTGTTTATTAATCAAAATATAAACAATTTTATTTGCAAGTTTCTATTGCGGAAACCATTGGTACACCATATGTATTTCAACCGTATACGCATACTGAAACCTTGCGTATACCTCAAGTTTCAAAAAAAAAACTTTTTTTAAACCTATTCAGTACACTTTTTGTATCATATGTATTTCAACTTTTTAGTATACGCATTTTTAATGAAACCTTGCGTATACTTCAAGTTTCAGCAAGTTTCAGTTGCGGAAACTATTTGGATTCGTGGACACCTCTGGTTTCTGCACTGCGGAAACTTGATGAAACTTGAAGTTTCCGCACTGAAACTTTGCAGAAACTATTAGTAAGCTTAAGTTTCCGCAGAGTTTTTATGGTTAGAGTTTCAGCCATGCGGAAACTTTTTGTATTATTTCATCCAGTGAAACTTTCAAGTTATTTGGTAAAAATAACTTGATCACTGCACTTACAAGATTTTCCTATCGAAGATTATATACTAAAAATAAAAACAACGGATTACAGATCTTCGAGGAGATTATCAGACAATTTTTAAAAAAATTAGACCACAGGGGCCGGTAACATACTGTTTTTGATTTTAGGTAATCACTATATATATACATGTATATACAAAAAATGAAAGGGAAACAACGTCAGCCCGAATTTACTCAGGGTCGATCACGGAAATATTTCGTATTTCATAGAAAAAAGAATGTAACCTATTAAATTATAACTAGAAATCATACTACAGAAACCTCGTTACTTTTTATAGCGTTTAAGTTGGGTAATACTAACTCGATATCCCGTTGTGCGAGTCGATGTACTTTAAGTCGTCCACTAAAACGAGGCAAAATTCGCACATTTTCTCCAGTTTTGAAGTCTTCCGGAGATGGAAAACACAAAGTAAAGATCCAGCGTTCACGAAAATCATCTTTTTCTTTTGTTAATTGCAATTAAAAGGTAAGACATCTCCGATCTGAATAAATACGGTAGCTTTTTTTCGTTCACAGAGAGGCTCGAGCCCAGAACAGACGACATCTTGGAAAAACCCACGACTGGTAAAAGGCGGAGCGTGATTTGTCAGATCTGTTCTAGAAAAGCACAATTGACCAATCACATCTCGCGTTAAATATCGGGTGCAATGTTTAGCGAATTTAGTGGACGACTTAAACTACATCACTTGCTTGACAGGATATCGGATCTGCAAAACACGACTTACACGATTCTTAAATGACTGCGATGGTATTTTTATTAAAGAGTGATTATTACTGAATGATCCCAGACGTTATTTCACTAACTGCAAGGTATTTTATTGAAAACACGAGTCATTTCCGAGATCGACCGTGTGTAATTTCGAGCTGACGTTGTTTCCCTTTCTCTTTTTGTATATATATAGTGATTACGAAAAATCAAATAAAGAATGTTACAGGCCCCTGTGACAAAAACATGTATTGCTACATCGATTCATTGTTAATTTGAACAATGTGACTTAAGACATTATTGTCACGACAATGCATAAAAAAGATAATAATAATGTTTAGAGGCTGAAAATGTATATCTTTAATTTATAACATTTTTTTAAGATACCAGTTTTAAGTTTTTATAATTCATTTTATATGAATTTTAAACAAGAATGACCAAAAAGTTAGGGTATTTTTTCATTTCATGTCGACAGAAGGCAATGGACCTGCAATAGAAATGACCAGAGGTTACACAGGGGCCTTCAACGTAAAGGAGAAAGCTGACAGAGAAAATCTTTCCCTCCAGAAGGATTTATATGCTAATATCGCAGTGCCTCATTGGAACATCACCTTCTTAAAGAAAATTGTAATCTCAGAAAAGCCCAGTTTGACTGAAAGGGTTGAAGTTTTCTACGCCCTTAAAGCAATATGAGCTGCATTTTTGAAAAAATTCATTTCATTCATTTGCTGTTAAAATGTATTATTATGATTAATTTGTGTATAATTTATACTCTTGTGTTCAATAAAACCAAAAGGAAATTTTAAATTGTTTCAGAAAAAATATTTTTGTACAGTCGAATGTATAGCACTATATAAGAAATCAATATTGTACAGGACGACAATAATGTAAATTTGCTTAAAATAAAGCTCAAAAAATTTCTTCCATCGCATATATGAACGACAGAAATTTATAAATGATCTATTTTTCTATCTTAGAAATAGTTAATTACAAATTTGCAATAAAATTTTCACAAGTCAAACTTGCAGCTCATTGCTTTAATAAGAAGGCAGTAGTGACATGTCCTCAGAGACAGTTTACAGAGTACTGAAAGATCTACCAAATGTTTATCATTTGAAATTTGGAAGGGGATTGAAGATAAAGACCCACCCCCAAAAAAAAAGAAAAAACAAAACAATCAAAAACATTTCAAGGAAGACTGGAGGTTATTTTTACATGAAAAATATAAAGTAGGATAAACCAGAAGTCTCTGTCTAGACTGTAGCTCTACTGGTTTGTACTTATAACAGAGGATGAGAAAAGAAGCCATTGCCATCAGACCAAAACTGTAGGAGTAGCGTATTAAGGGAATTTCACAGACATTTCTATTTTTAGTAACAATGGCAACACTGTTCATCAAAATCAAAAACTGATGCACTATTTTATATATTTTAGAGTAGTCTACAAGTGTGCCAAGTTATATTGAAATCAGATCAAAACTGTAGGAGGAGTAGCATTTTAAAGGAATTTCACAGAAAATTCTATTTTAAGTAACCATGGCAACACCATTCACCGAAATCAAAATCCGATGCATTATTTTATGTATCTCTGTGCAGTTTACTTGTGTGCCAAGTTATATTAGAATCAGACCAAACCTGTAGGAGGAGTAGCGTTTTGAAAAATTGATTACAGTCAGACGGACAGACAGACAGACGGACGGACACCTTGCTGTCGCGTAAGCTCTTCTGGTCTCTGACCAGTAGAGCTAAAACAGAAAGAAGATCTAGAAAAAGTTTCTGAAGAAATGATGTCACTTGTGCAAGATGGATATAGAGGGTTTTCTAAAGATCTTGACTAAAATCCACAGCAGATTGTAAGCTTCTTTTCAAACGTATACAAAAAGGACATAAGGAAATGTGAATTTCAGGAAGCCCTGCTGACATCAAATGAGAAATATGAAGGAACAAGTTTTAGCACAAAATTTTCTTGCATCAGTGCATATGTTTTAGATAGAGAATATATATATTCTAAATTGATTCTAAACTGATTTCTTGTATATTCAAAAATTGTCACTGTTTAACTGGAGCTTACATTCCAGTGTCATTTATTTTTTCTCTATAAAAGCAGTATTATGAAAAGAAGCTGTTTCTTCCCTGTTTATATCCCCACTCTGCAGGAGAGTTGGTATGCTGATTTATTAAACACACTGACATTGGCTCACAAATTTATTGTTTTATACTGGCAGGCTACACACAATATGCAAGTATGATTAGAATATGAATACATTTTAACAAAACGGAGAACAAGATTAATTGTGAAACACTGCTTCCCCCATACATGGCAGCTTATGCCACGACTCCCACGAAGCACCCAAAGAAAGATCGTCACAAAGGAAATATCAAATATGAAAATCTACTTCAACTTCAAACGTTGTGATCAAGATTAAATTTTTTTTAAGTGGGCCAATGTTTTAGATCAAGGTCAAGAAATTTAAAATATTTATATCAAATTGGTGAAAACTGCGATTGGATATGACTTAAAAAATCAATTTGGGCAAATTGCCAATTTTCATGCAATAATTTCTAGAAAGCTACACATTTACCCATTGATTTTTTATTCTTATAAAACCTTAGAATATAATAGTTTGTTTGATGATACATGGTACACAAATATATCTGTTGTCAAAATGGTGAAAAATCCCATTGAATATGAATAAAATTCAATTTTTGCAAACTGCCAATTTTCATGCAATATCTAGTAAGCTACACATTTACCCATTAATTTTTTTTTAAATTCTTATTAAACCTAAGAATATATACCGGTAGTTGATTAAATGAAACATGGTTACAAATATATCTGTTTTAACCAGAAGTCTGTCGAGACTGTGGCTCTACTGGTTTGTACTTATAACAAAGGATAAGAAAGGAAGCCATTGCCATCAGACCAAAACTGTAGATGGAGTAGCGTTTTAAAGGAATTTCACAGACATTTCTATTTTTCGTAACAATGGCAACACTGGTCATCAAAATCAAAAACTGATGCACAATTCTATGTATCTAGTGTAGTCTACTTGTGTGCCAAGTTATATTGAAATCAGACCAAAATTGTAGGAGGAGGCGTTTTAAAGGAATTTCACAGACATTTTTTTTTAGTAACAATGGCAACACTGTTCAATGAAATCAAAATCCGATGCACTATTCTATGTATCTTAGTGTAGTCTACTTGTGTGCCAAGTAATATTGAAATCAACCAAAACTGTAGAAGGAGTAAAATTTTAAAGGAATTTCACAGAAAATTTTTAGTAACCATGGCAATAATGTTCATTGAAATCAAAAACCGATGCACTATTCCATGTATCTTAGTGTAGTCTACTTGCATGCCAAGTAATATTTAAATCAGACCAAAACTGTAGGAGTAGCGTTTTGAGGAATTTCACAGAAAATTCTATTTTTACTAACTATGGCAACACCGTTCATCGAAATCATAATCTGATGCACTATTTAATGTATCTTAGTGTAGTCTACTTGTGTGCCAAGTTATATTGAAATCAGACAAAAATTGTAGAAAGAGTAGCGCTTTAAAGGAATTTCACAGAAAAATCTATTTTTAGTTACCATGGCAACACCGTTCATCGAAATCAAAACCCGATGCACTATTCCATGTATCTTAGTGTAGTCTATTTGTGTGCCAAGTTATATTGAAATCAGACCAAAATTGTAGAAGGAGTAGCGTTTTAAAGGAATATCACAGAAAATTCTATTTTTAGTAACCATGGCAACACCGTTCATCGAAATCAAAAACCGATGCTTTACTTTATGTATCTTAGTGTAGTCTACTTGTGTGCCAAGTTATATTAAAATCAGACCAAAACTGTAGGAGGAATAGCGTTTTGAAAAATTTTTTACAGACAGACGGACAGACAGACAGATGGACGGACGACGGACACCTTACTATCGAATAAGCTCTACTAGTCTCTGACCAGTAGAGCTAAAAATGGGGAAAATTTTCATTAAATGTGACAAAAAATCCAAATTTTTGCAATTTGCCAGTTTGTTGGCACTTTTAATACTGCGATGAAAAATCGCTTAAATATTTTGAATAGAATTTATTTCTTAGATTTAAGAAGAATAAGTAGATAACGAACAGTTTTCAATATCAAAGTCCAAAAAACAATACAAAATAGGAGCAGAGCAAACACGGGCCTCCAAAACATCAGCGGTGGGACCAGGGGCCATGGAGGAGTTAGCATCCCCTGCTGACCCGTCACACCCGCCCTGTGCTCCTTGTCATGATCGGGAAATAACGGAAAATTTCGTCGTCAATTCGATGTGTGAATAATGGACTAACAATTAGTATGAAAAGCGTCAATCAGCATTTGACTCTCTCAATGATAAATTGTATTGTATCGACCATAGAACTTACGAAAATGATTACGTTAGACGAGACTGCTGATATTCTTGTTTCATCAACTTGCTGGACAATAATATACCTCGTTTTAAAATCGTTCATACGTAGAGCATGCTCTTGCGTATCGAATCAACTGAGATATATTACACTCCGTATGTAGGTGATGAAGGTATATTGCTGCATAAGTAAGGAAAGTTGACGATAGAAAAGTTAAAGTCATCAGGTTTATCATATAGCTTGGCTGTTAGATTACCATTAACGTCTATCCAAGTATGAAACAGATGTGTCAGACTCTGTGGTATCTTTTATCTCAAGCTCTCGTGGATGTATCGTATCGAAGAAGGAATAGAAATTACCATCGTTAATTGACAATACGTAGTCGATATATCTAAATGTCGAGTTCAAGACCACAGCAAGTGTTTTTTTTCTTTTCACGCATAAGATTTTGCACAAATTCTGCTTCATATGAATACATAAATAGGTCTGCTAACAACGGAGCGCAATTGGTACCTATTGGTACCAATATAATGAATATGATTTTCATGTTACACTAATTCACTGAATCTGCAATAATTTAATTTAAAACAGAGCAAATTTTGCTTAATAAAAGGTCTCTAAATATAGCATCCTTGTTACACTGCAACCAAATCGAAAAGTTAGACTTACCGGTAAGCATCATATTTATTAAAGATATGCCAGTTGTAGTAAATGGTGTGAAATTCAGCTAAATCAGAGACATGTTACGTCCACGACCCTATTTAAAATTTTAATCTTTTTAGCAAATTTATATTAAATTTACTATATAAACGCTTTTTTCCAACCTTGACAAACCAAGTCCGTTATCCAGGTCCCATTTTTATGGCACACGATCATTCCGGATCCTCGCTGTTCGAAAGAATCCAAGCATTTAATGTGCATTCGTTTTCTTATTCCTATTCCTTCCCAGTCCTGCACATTCCACGTGGTGTTTTTTATTATATCGACAGGGATCCCACAATCTGATAAACAAACAAATTACCTTAGAAAAAGTGTAATTGATTGATTGTATATTGTTTAACACTTTCGAGAATTTTTTTTCACTCATATGGAGACGCTTCCACTTGTCGGTGGAGAGCTATAATTTTCAACCCATAATTGGCACTTAGGGCCAATTAGCAGTAAGGGATTTTTATCGTATAAGTAAAAACGATTTGAATACAGTCTCATCAGATAGACCGGTCTCCATGTCCCACAGTGTTTGTTGGTTAAAAGAAAAATGATATTTATAGGCCGTTAATGAGAATATCCCGAGCGAGAAATATTTGGACAGTTAAAAATTCAGCTTCGCCAACAAAGCTTTTTGTCTGTCAGCGTGCTTTAAATCTCTACAATAATAATAAACAAATTGTCATCAATTGACGCTGCAAAGCTGTATTAAATTTACAGCTCTTCACTGTCAAGTGATTGCGTTTCCATATGAGTGAAAAATTCTCGAGAGGAACGTTAAACAATATACAATCAATCAATCTTTTCTTGTAATATCACAGGAACCCCATGATTGCGTGACTGTCAAAACTTTTAAAGTATTACACGTTAGAGCGCTGCGGCAAAAGTGCATAATGACTTTAATTTACACGTTATTACTTAAACAAAGTTGTCATGTTGTAATTTTTTTATTTACTGCCACCCGTTGAATAATTTCACAACGGTCTTGTAAACGGCCCAGAGCATTTTAGTCTACTTTTTGCAATAATATAAATGACGTATTTACCGTACATAATTTCAACATATATAAGACAAGAGTAAAGTTGATATTGCAAACCACTACTTTATATAACATGTAGTCTCTTCAAAATGAATGCTCCACTCGTTTCATGTGATAATTCGTAATGATGTCATATCGTGGTAGTTCAGAGAAGTAACTGTATTGGTTGTTTTACAATAATTTTCGGAAAGACTTGACCAACCTACCTTTAGAGCAAAAGATGCAAGGAAAAATTATCATGCCAACAATATGTGCAATAAAAAGGCAAAAGTGTATTAAAAAATTAAATCTTTTCTGACTCTCTTGTGTAAAGGACCATAAATGACTCAGTTATATGTTTTAAAAATATATTTTTTTCAATGCTAATATTGATATTTTCTAACTTCTTGCTTGTCTGCAAATGCAATTCTTGTTTTTCTTGTGATTCTAGTTTGGAAGAGACTTAGCAACGGCTTCATATTAAAGTGATCAAGAATTTTGGTTTTCTTTTTTTGGGGTTGCACCTCCATGGATTTCATTAATTTGGAACATACATCTTCATCATAACTCTGTACTTAGTTGAAGATTTTCAAAGAATTAACAATATTCACTATATTATCAATTCAACAGCCCAAATACGACCCGCCCCCTTCCCCCGTCCGAAAAATCTTACGTTTTCCAGGCTTTTTTTATGATTTTGATATTTTACATGCCAGTTTTCCTGGCATGTAAAATATCAAAATCATAAAATAAGCCAGGAAAACGTAAGATTTTTCGGACTACCCCCCCCCCCCCCCCCCCGGGACCACGAAGTAATAAAAATTTGAAAGTAGCATCCTTATTCATCATAAATGCACTTCGTTCATCCGCTGAATACTAAGAATTTAATTAGACAGGATTAAACCTAACTTGACTTAGATATCCATCTGACTTTATTTGTATAACTAAATTCCATTTCAATATGATCAACCTCTCAAAAGAAAATGAACGGAAACTGCAAATAATTAGAATTTTTCTAAGTCCAAGGGGCATAACTCTGTAAATTATGGTGCCATCGTACCCAAGACAGAACTTGACTTAAATATTCATCTGACTAATCTGTATACTAAATTCCATTTCAATGTGTGCAACCTCTCCAAAGAAAATAAACGGAAACTGCAAATAGTGGGAATTTTTCTAAATTCAAGGACCGTTCACGGAAGCTCAGTCGGTAGAGCGCTAGCTCCGTGATCGGGAGGTCGTGAGTTCGTATCTCGGCCGCGACCGACCTAGTCGTTAAAATGGGTAGCAACTGTTCCTTCGCCATGCGCTCGGCACTTTGAAGTGAAAGTTGCGGGTCCTTCGGATGAGACCTTAAAAACCGAGGCCCCGTGTCATCGGCAGGCGCTGGCACGATAAAGATCCCTCACTGCTCAATGGCCCTGAGTGCCGAGTAAAGGTCAAAATTTGAAGCCCTTCACCGGCATACGGTGACGTCTCCATATGAGTGAAAAATTCTCGAGAGGGACGTTAAACAATATACAATCAATCAATCTAAATTCAAGGGGCATAACTCTGTCAAGAATGGTGCGATCGTACCCAAAATAGAACTTGACCAAGATATTCATCTGATATACCTGTATACCAAATTTTATTCCAGTATGTGCAACGGTTGTGAAGAAAATGGAACGGAAACTAAATTGACCGCCAGACCGACCGACAGACAGCAGCAAAACAATATGCCGGTAATAATATGCCCTCCCTTCTTCGCAGGGGGGCTTTAAGTGCAAATTTCGGCGCGCTTTGGGGGAAAATATCTCAACTTTCAATCATTGGTCAATCAACTCCCTTTCACGTTATAATTCAAGACACATTCTGTATCTATTTTGTATTTATCTACAACCTTTTCCTTTATCACTCTTTAAGTGATTGACTCGCTTGATTAGAATTAGTTGTTGGATTGCTGAAAATTCACTTCAAAAGATCTTACTTAGTATCGCCGGAAAATACGGCTATAAGGGGTTTGGAGGTGGATAAAATATGCATTTTTATTTATCAATTACATTTCTTTTATTTTACTTTCAACTTTTAGTTAATAAGATTTTTTTCTAATCTCACCTGACAAAACGCACTCAAATTGGCCAAACGCTTTTGGGATGCATTTTTCATTAATATTACAGGGTGGTCCTGCACATGATTCCGCGAGAACCTGAAAAGAACGTACAAAAAGTAGATAATTCATGTTCAAAAGATGAAGAATTAATGAAGTTTTGAACCCAAGTATTTTTTTTTTCAAAAAAATAAAGATAGTCAAGTTGTTCAACAGATAAAAATTATGAAATTACCATCCTAAAAATTAATGATAAAATGGACATAGTTCTCGTTTAATAGATGAAAAGTAATGGAATTTTGCAAATGTTGGAGACTAACTTAAGGTTTCGTCAAAGGTCAACATGTCTAAAAAATTATTTTTACAATAGCTTCAAAACTATGTGTGGCAAAAAGTCAAAACGTTTACTGTTTATAAATATATCATTGATTAATAGATAGAAAATATCACTTGATAACAAATATTTTTAAAAAGATATTTTTTGAGAAAAATTGTATCAGAGAATGTGCATATTTAAAGAAAAATGCACCTGCTTAATTCGATCCTTTTTGTGAAAACCATCATTGCAGAAATAATATATGTTTATCATTGAAGGGCAAGTTGGACATGAATGGTCTCTGAAAGGCTGTTATTGAAAGGATGACATGTATAAAGACAAGACCCCTTGAAAATCTGCCATTTGCAATGTACTTTCACTTTCAAGTCTTAACATTTGGACAAAATAAACAGGGAAAACAACTTTCCAGAGGCTATCCAAGTCCAACTTGCCCTTCATTGATAAACATATTTTGTTTCTGCAATGATGGTTTTCACTAAGAGCACAGGATTAATTAGGTGTATTTTTTAAAAATATATGCATTTTTAAGAAGAGTTTTTCTCAATTAGTATTTTTTCCAAGTATATTTTTTATCAAGTGATACTTTCAATCTGTTAATCAATGAAAAATTTATAAACTGTAAAAGTTTTAAATTTATACCTCACATACTTTTAGGGCTATTGTAAAAACAAATTTTTGGACATGTTGACCTTTGACGAAACCTTAATGACTTTAAGTGCCATCTGCTAGTTTTAGTCATAAGAGCAATTCAATGAAAATCATGAGTATTTAAAAGTACACAGTTTCTATGGTTTTTCAGTGGTTAGAGCGTTTGCTCCAAGGGCCTCAAAGTAAGGCGTTGATTCTTCCGTCGCGGGTTCTATTCCCACTTTGGGAAGTGGAGACTGGTCCTTCGGATGAGAACATATAAATCCGAGGCCCCGTTTTGCATAAGGTGCTGGTAGGAAATAGATCCTTCCCTGCTTAATTACTCTGATCATGAGTGTCGAGTATAGAACAAAATCTGTAGCTCTCAAACGGCAAGTGGATGCATCTCCATAGGAGTGTAAAATGCTCAAGAGGAACATTTGAAAACAACCAATCTTCGATAAAACAAATGGTAATGACAAGGAAAAAGGGGTCTTCTTTATAACACAAATGCCATTAGCTATTGACATGGGAGCAATTAAATGAAGGTAATGGGCAAAATGCAGATTGAACTTCGGTTTTAAATATTTGGATATGATAAAGTCAATTACATCCTCCGCTCCTGATTGTATACCATTTGATTTCTTGTCAACATTTGTCGCCCGCGTGGTGCAGTGGTTAGAGTGTCTGCTGTAGAGTCGCGATGTATGGAGTAAATCCTTACGTCGCGGGTTCGATTCCCACTGTGGGTCGTGGAGACCAGTCCTTCGGATGAGACCATATAAACCGAGGTCCCGTGTCGCAGTAGGTGCTGGCACGAAAAAGATCCCTCTCTGCTCAATGGCTTTGAGTGCCGAGTATAGGACTAAACCTGCAGCTCTCCACCGGCAAGTGGTGGCGTCTCCATATGAGTGAAAAATTTCCTTAAACAATATACTATCAGTCTAATCAACATTTAGTATTTTTTATAACTTGAAATTTTAGTACACTCTTTGTTGAGGTATGCCATATTTAGGGATTAATTTTGATATGAATCTGATGTAAATTTTATATTTTTCTGTGCAAAAAATTAGTCCATAATTGAACTTGTGTATATTAACATGATAGTGTTTAAGGGACTCCGACCCTCAACCAGGAAGTACAACTCTTTAAATTTATAATTTAATTCAAAAAGTCTTTAATTGAAGCTTGGAAATTAAATATTTTTATGCAACAATTTTCATCATATGCCTCTCAATGTGCTTCAAGGTTCTGTAAAAGCTCCATAAATCACTTCCAATTTCATATCATGTTAATAAACATTGGTACCTAAAAATGCCTTTTCGGGAGAAAAATTTCTACTTTTAATTAGACCTTTCTGAGAAGTTCAAAGAACCTAGAAGCACATTGAGAGGCATATAATGAAAATTCAATTTTCAACCGAAGTCTTTTATAATGAAATAGTCCAACATGAGTAACGAAAGTGATGATTTCATGAGATTCTTCAGACAGCGCTAACTGATGAAAACCCCATTTCAGGTCTAGCTTGCTGAAAATACAAATCCCATTTAGCTCATGCAAAATCTCAACAATGGTAGGTATAGGATGTCTCTCTCTAATGATGGCTTCATTAGCTTGTCTCATGTCCACGCATAGACGAATATCTCCTGACAGCTTTGGTGTTACAACGAAAGGGCTGACCCACGATGATGGACCCTCGACCGACTCAATGATATCCGTACACTGCAACTCTTTTAAGTTTGCGCTCGAGCTTCTCCCTAATAGTGGATGGAATCCTCCTGATCATGGTTCTTACTTATGATCATTACAGAAGTGTATTAATGTTCAATGCTTAACTTATACAACTTAAATGATTATAATTAAAACAATGTGGAATTCTACATAAGAAATACAACTGAGATTCCTGGAAAAAAATTATCTACTGTTAAGTGTAAATCTCAATATTGAAATCCAACCCTCCCCCTCTAGATAGAGAATACAAATATATTTACCTCATCCCAGTACTGGATGTCGGTGTATAACCATCCTGAGGCTTGTCTGTAAAACGCTGGTAGAGTTATGTTTGTACTGAAGTTTATTTCACAAAAGTTTGCGCCTTTGTAATAATTGACAGATCTACACCTTTTAGTTCTCAGACACTCTTCAACACAGTCCAGTACGCTATAGTTCACGTAAGATTCTATCATTCTATAAAGAAATCGGTAGCCATATTGTATGGACGAATATCCAGCTTTCAAGTCTCCCTGGCAACATAAAATAATATTAAAGATTATAAAAATAGTTTTAAGATATTTGAAGATTTTCATGATTCCTGCAAGGTTAGGCGAACGTTCTTGTTTATAAACCTCTCGGTGAATATAAAACATAGGCCTCTAAATTTTCTTTTCTTAGAGTGCAGTGTTTAACGATTTTTCCATTTCATGTATGCCAAGCATTTAATCAATATTCGCAGTAAAACATATTCATAAATTACAAATCAATACATTAAATTTCAGGCGACAATTTTTCAGCCGTTATTTTTCGTATTTTCGTCTTTTGCATATAAATATGTACCAAACATTTAATAACTAAATAAGGAAGTATATGTTTTATATGCCTTCCGGGGAGGGAAAAATTCTTATTTCAAAAATGATGTTGATGAATTATTCACTGATATTATATACTGTTTAATTTTTGACCCCTATATAGCGCCATTTTGAATAGAGAAATCGAAAAACAAAAACCGATGTGCACAACTTCAATCCTTCTATTATCTAAAATCAATAGAATTTCTGCTCCAACGTTAGCCGTCTCTGAGCCTTTGTCTGGAAACGAAAGCCTATAAATTTTCGTTTAAAGGGAAGTAACTCAAAACCGGAAGTGACTTTTTGAAATTTTAGTCAGCATTCTGATAGAGTTTATAAACATCTATAACCTCTGAAAATTTGAGCGAAATCCGTTTAGAAATGAGTGAGATATGAGGCCTCAAAGTTGCGGTCTAGGAAGTAGAAGAAAAAAAGAATAATAATCTTGACCATCAGAATCAGTAGAAGGTCTTCCGTTGGAAACGGAAGACCTTAATTAGGTCTATATTGCGTTTAAGGCATACAAATACGATATTAGCTTCCTTGGTCAAATCTCCATGTAAAAACTCCATAAGGAATCGTTGCATCATACGTTACGGAATAATTGCATCATAGTAACGCTATGGCAGTGTGATTGATTGATTGTATATTGTTTAACGTCCCTCGAGAGAACTTTTCACTCATATGGAGACGTCACCGTATGCCGGTGAAGGGCTTCACATTTTGACCTTTACTCGGCACTCCGGGCCATTGAGCAGTGAGGGATCTTTATAGTGCCAACGCCTGCCGCTGACACGAGGCCTCGGTTTTTAAGGTCTCATCCGAAGGACCCGCAACTTTCACTTCAAAGTGCCGAGCGCATGGCGAAGGAACAGTTGCTACCAATTTTAACGACCAGGTCAGTCGCGGCCGAGATACGAACTCAAGACCTCTCGATCACGGAGCGAGCGCTCGCTATGGCAGTGTGAAAAAGAAACATTGAAATAGCAAGTACCTTGTTCCGTTCCGTTAAATACCAAAATCCACACAGGTATTGGTATTTTGCGAAACGAAACGGAACCATGTTTCCTATTGAAGAGAAGATAAAAACAAGAGGACCATGGGCCACATCGCTTATTTCATAATGAGTCATTTTAGATACGCAATTTGTGAATTTGACTCTAAATCAGATGATAGACTGAGAAATATATCCTTTACAGCACGCAATTTTTTAAGCAGTTAGCGTATTCGCTAACCGCTTTATGGCATGTGTCCAACGATATTACGCAGTTTTTATCGACACCAGAATCTTCCATACGGCGCTACCTATCGACAACGGAAACTTCAACAAAGCCTCTACCTATGATTTGTTTCTAACACATATAACATGTTAAATATAATCAAGACTATCAAACAACATAATCTTTCGGATTTTAATTTTTTTTTGATTTTGTCAATGAAATAAAGAACTGGGTACATTGTGTATAACAAGGTGACCCTGTAAAATCGGCAAAAATTAAACGCACGAAAACATTTTTTGAACTGTGTCAATTTATTGTTTAGGTTCCTCTTTGTGAAAAATTGGTATCAATTTTCCTCAACTTACGTGACCTTTTGTGTATATAAGGTTCAAAACCGGTGTAATATTCCGGAATTCACATATTTTTGACGTTTTCCTCCTCTTCAAGTCTATATTTCGATATGGCCGGATCCGAGTATATATGCGAAAGTTCGCAGAAAGAACAAGTATACTTTAGTTACTCATATGCAAGAGAAAAAATGACTGTACAAAAGTGCAGCCACGTCCGTTTTTAAGAAAAATTGCAGTTGAAAATATTTCGTTTTTGGATAGATGTGACTTTTCCTCCATAATAAAATCTATACTTCTTAAGAAATTTATTGTTTAAGTTTGAATATAAAGGTTTTATTATCTAATCTATACTTTTATAGAAATTTATTGTTTAAATCTGAATCTGAATGTCATGAAAACAACATAAACTTTTCTTCGTAAAATTTATCAAGGGACACATTACATGTAATTTAATGAGGCAATACATTGAAAAACATGACGTCATAATGAGCCATCATATATTGAACAACCAAATTCTTCAGTCTTCCATAATAAAATATAACAAAAAAAAATCAATCAATATACGACATAAGTTGGTATGGTTCAAAGGATTCATTTACATACATGTAATTAAAACGAGCGTCTCCTTCATAATGGACGTGATATTGACTTTACTGTTAAAATAAAGAAAACTTTTTAAACACCCAAGATGCATCAACTGACAAAGTTTGATGATCATAGGCCTTAAAATGTCCAAAATAAGCCTTTAAATAAATTTGAAAACAAATCCCCGCAAGATTTAAAAAGTAGGTCACTGTGACCTACTTTTGAGTTAACATGATGTGAAGTCATAAGATGCATCAACTTACAAGATTTAATGATCCTAGTCCTTAAAGTAAGCAAAATATACACGTCTTTATTAGGTCACCTGAGTAAACTCAGGTGACCTATTGCTATCCGTTTTCGTCTGTCGTCGTGCGGTGTGCGTCGTGTGTTAACATTTGAACATTTTCAGCTTCTTCTCTGCAACTGCTCAACCAATTTTAACCAATTTTGGCATAAAGCATCTATGGGTTAAGGGGAACAAAAATTGTGAATTTCATGGTCCCTGCCCCCCTGGGGCCTGAGGGGTGGGGCCAAAACTACTAAAATTAGTGCAGTCTTTAAAAATCTTCTTCTTTACTCCTGGACATCAAGCAGTCTAACTGTTGGCATGATTGTAATGAGCATTGAGTCCTTTATCAAAATTGTGAAATTCATGGCCCCAGGGTCAGGGGTTCTAGTACTAGGGTGGGGCTATATAGATTATATAGTGAAAATGCATTATTTCTTTGAAAATTTTCTTCTCTGCTCCTGGGTATTAAAAAAACCAACTAAGTACATAATTATGATAAGCAAGAGTGCCTCTTCCAAAATTGTGAATTTTATAGCCCCAGGGTCAGGGGATGAGGTATTAGGGCGTGGCTCTATTGATTATATAGTGAAAAGGCATTAATTCTTTTGAAAATCCTTTCTCTGCTTCTGGGTATTAAATGAACAAACTAAGTACATAGTTATGATGGGCAAGAGTGCCTCTTCCAAAATTGTGAATTTTATGGCCCCAGGGTCAGGGGTTGTGGTGTTAGGGCGGGGCTCTATTGATTATATAGTGAAAATACATTAATTCTTTGAAAATCTTTTCCTTTGCTCCTGGGTTTTATGCGAATGATCCAAGTATATATAGTTTTAATGAAGGTGCATTTAGCAAAATGGTTATTATATATGCCCCCTGGGTCTGGGTGGGGGAGGAGGGGGGGCACAAAGTCTGACAATAAATTAATGCTTTGAAATCTGCTCTTTGGTATTAATCAACAATTTTATGATAAAATTTGCAAAATTTGAAATACCAGGTAATGTGGCCCAAGGGCCAGTGGTTCCTTTGTAGTGAGGTGCAAAACTGGTTATAAAGTGGAAGTACATTTTCTCTTTGTTACTCTGATATACCTCTGGGTATTAAGTAAATAGAGTAAGCATGCTAAGTTTATAATAATGATAAGCAATGGTGCCTCTTTCAAAATTGTGAATTTCATGGCCTCTGGTTTAAAACACGAACCAAAGTTAATTGTTTGAAAGTTGTTACACGATACTCAGGTGACCTATAAGGCCCGTGGGCCGCTTGTTATTTGTAAATATAGGTCAACTTTGAAGTAACCTTGAGACCACGCCCTTTGCCCCAAGGTAATTCCCCGTGCAAATTTTAATCTTCGACATATTTTGATCCTTGTATGTAAGTTTGGTGAAAATCTGCCTGGTGGTTATGAAGAAGAAGATTTTTTAGCAACTAGTACTTTTGGTTTTGTTTTCCTGATTATCTCCCCTTGTTTAAGGGTCCCAACACTTATTTTAGTATAAATAGTAGCCATTGGGCCAAGGATACCCTGTGACAAATTTGGTACTGATTGGCCAAGAGGTTCTTGAATTATGGCCCATATTCTAAAAAGTTTACGCACACCGCACAAATGGCCATAGCATTGGCTCTTTGAGCCTTTGGCTCAGAAGAGCTAAAAAGAGGCTCTGTCCATGTTTCAAATTATATTGCATCTTATTGATTCGATTCAAATTTTGTTCAGCATGTCTGTACAGTCAAATTTAGTCTTTTATATAATCAATTTCAAAAACATCTTCCAAAATTCTTGAGGGAGAAAATATTGTTGAACCAAAATGTTCAACTGTTACTGGGTGTTGCTAAAACGCGGAACGGAAAGCGGAACGGAACGGAAAATATTATTTGAAAATATATCATTTAAAATATATTAATTTCTCGAAAACGATATATTTTATACATATTTAATCCCTCCATGATCAATACAAGTTTAATTAGTCATTTCAAGTCTCTTATGAAAAGCGCTGACAAAGTAATGACATAGCTCCGATTTCTTTCAGTTTTATTTTCTTACACTTACTGTCTTCTATTAATTTAACAGACAGAAAGTGTTGGAGGTTTCAATGATCATTTCAATAGTATAAAGACAAGTTGGGAAACAGTTGGGGGGATATTTGTTATCTTTATAAATCATGGTAACTGGTAAAAAAAAAATTAAATTAAAATAAAAGATCTTCTAT